CCGTCTCTCACTTCCCTCTCTCTCCATTCCCTTCTATCTCCTTCCCCCTCTCTCCCCTTCTCTCCGTTCCCCTCTCTCACTTCTCTCTCACTCTCACTCCCCTCTCTCTCCATTCCTTTCTAACTCTTTCCACTCTCTCTCTCCTCTCTCCCACTTCACTCTTACTTTCTCTCTCTCTCTCACTTCCCTCTCTATCTCTTCACTTCCCCTCTCTCCATTCCTTTTTCCATCTCATTCCCCTCTCTCACTTCACTCTCCTTCCCCTCTCTCACTCCCCTCTCTCTCGTTCCCCTCTCTCACTTCTCTCTCTCGTCGACCTCCTCTCTCACTCCCCTCCCTCCCCGTTCCCCTCTCTCACTCCCCTCCCTCCCCGTTCCCCTCTCTCACTTCTCTCTCTTCTCGCTTCCCCTCCCTCCCCGTTCCCCTCTCTCACTCCCCTCCCTCCCCGTTCCCCTCTCTCACTTCTCTCTCTCTCGCTCCCCTCCCTCCCCGTTCCCCTCTCTCACTCCCCTCCCTCCCCTTCCCCTCTCTCACTTCTCTCTCTCTCGCTCCCCTCCCTCCCCGTTCCCCTCTCTCACTTCCCCTCCCTCCCCGTTCCCCTCTCTCACTTCTCTCTCTTTCTCGCTCCCCTCCCTCCCCGTTCCCCTCTCTCACTCCCCTCTCTCCCCGTTCCCCTCTCTCACTTCTCTCTCTCTCGCTCCCCTCCCTCCCGTTCCTCTTCCCCTCGGCCAAACGTCCTCGGATCTGGACCAGAAGCACAGGCAATTAAGGTGTCCACACCTGCCCGTTCTCACTGCGCTCGGTGAGGGGAAAGATGGGGGTGGAGGGAAGGGGGAGGGAAGGAGAGGAAGGAGGAGGGGAAGTGGGAGATGGAAGAAGAAAGAAGGGAAGAATGAGTGAAAGAAGGGAAAGATGGGGATGGAGGGGAAGTGGAGATGAAGGGAAGAAGGAGGGAATGAGGAAGGAGGAGAGAAGGAGGGAAGTGGGAGATGAAGGGAAGAAGGAAGAAGGAGGGAAGTTTGAGATGGAAGGAGAAGGAGGGGGAAGTGTGAGAGTGTGAGAGGAAAAGAAGGAGGGAAGTAGGAGGGGAAGTGGAGAGAAATGGAGGAAGTAGGAAAAGGGAGGAAGGAAAGGAAGGAGAAAGAGGGAAGGGAGATGGAGGGAAAAGTAGTGGAGAAGGAAAGGGAAAGAAGGAAATTGAAGAAGGGAGGGAGGTGGGAGGCAGGATAGGGATGGGGGAGAGAAGTTGGCGAGGCGATGGGAAGGGGGGGAAGGGGGAGGAGGGGAAGGAAGAAGGAGGGAAGGAGACGGAACGGTGGAGGAAGAGTGGCTTGGGTGGAGAAAGAGGGAAGGAGGAAGGAGGAAGAAGGAAGGGAAGTGGGAGGAAGGGAGTAGAGATGGAAAGAGGGAGGTGGAAGGAGTGGAAGGAGAGAAGTAGGAGGGAGGTGAGAGTTGGAGAGGAAGAAGAAAAGGGAAGAGAGCGGAAGTAAAGAGGAGGAGAGGAGCAAAAAGATTAGGAGAGAAGGAGGAGAAAAAAGAGGAGGAACAAAAGGAGCGAGTAGTAGGAGAAAGAAGGAGGAGGAGGAGGAGGGTAGGAGGTAGGGGTGGGAAAAAAAGGTGGGGGGAGGGGTGAGGAGGGAAAACAGTACGCGTAGAAAGTGGATGTGGCAAAGAAGGGAGGAAGAAGGAAGAGCAGGAAGGGAAATGAGATAAGTACGAAAAGATAAGAAAGAGAGAGGAAAGAAGAAAGTAAAAAAAAAGAAAAAAAAGAAAAAGAAGTAGGTAAGATCACCATCAGGTTCTTTATCATTACCATTATGCCCATTATTGGTGATTTATATAATCCACTAACATCATCATCATCATGCATCAACATCATCGCCAAGCCGAAGTCACAGCATCACAAGCAAACATCGCCCCACTACAAATAGAAGGCAACTGCAAAATCCTCTCTTCATCTTCAAACCAAAAACAGGAATTGCAAATACCCCTTCTCTCTCTCCCCCTCTCCTCTCCGAAAAAAGAAAAAAAGC